TCCTTTATGCTCTCTTTGTCAACACTCCCCCCTTACAATCGACCATATTTTACTTTCTTGCCCTAAAACCTATGCCACACGTATCAAAATTCGAAGTTCCCTCCCTCTTAATATGCACCCTTTGTGTTCAGGTAGTCCAATGGTAGTAACAGAAATTTTAAAACTCTTCAAGAAACTAAATTTAAAAATTTAAAATTGCCTAGTCCCCGACGTAAATAGCCTAGACGCTGATCGTCGTTAAATAAAATTAACTAACTAACTAACTATATATATATGCAACTCTGTTCGGAGATGTCTTTCCGCCTGACACAGTTTCATTTTTTATTCATTATTTGGAATTGAGAAAAAAGGGGGGTGAGTCACGCAGGTTGGAAAACTCATCAGTGTTTCCACGTAAAATATTTACGTAAGTAATGCAGATGGCATAAAATGCACACTTAGAGAAAAAAATGTAGTTATTAAAAATCTCATCATCCTTACGCGAAAAAATTAAGAAGAGGGGGTGATATTTTTTGCTTCGCCGGTAGATTCCGCTTTTTCTAAGTTGGTAATGCACCTCCGCTGGTAACGCACTCCGTCTCTGAGAGCATATAAAAATAGGACCTATGACGCAAACCACAGGATCGATGATTTAAGGGGAATTTCAAGCTTTTGAACTTTTTCTGATGGTAAAAATGACCTCTGGACCGCAACGTCAACGCAAACGCTGTTATCAGAGGGAATGAGTCCATCGTGACTCAACTGGCCCACGCCATGCGAGATTGCAATCACGGCTCTCAAAATTGGGAATGAATCCATCACGACTCAACTGCCGTGTCCCATGGCATGACAACATTCTCGCTTTGAAAGGTACAGTCAGGTACTATTTTAGATTTTTTACAGATTTTTTTTTTTTTTTTTTTTTTTCTCTCTCTCTTTTTTTTCTTCTTTTCCATCCAAGTGAGGATGGCTGAGTTTTCAGCCGAAACGTTTTTGGCTCTATTCGTGAAATTTTAGCCTTGTTACCCGCTTTTTAAATTGTGTTTTTTTAATGTATAGCTTGTCACGGGCTGCGGAGGGTCTATCATATCTCATGTCCCATGACATGCGCGCTTTTAATCAAGGCTTTCCAAATTGAGATTGAAAATGAGTCCATCAAGGCCTTCAAAATTGTTAAACTGGAGAAAAAAAAAAAAAAAAANAAAAAAAAAAAAAAAAAAAAAAAAAAAAAAAAAAAAAAAAAAAAAAAAAAAAACATTGGACCTAGAGTCCAGACTCTTAAAAACATCGACAAGAAAAAATACTCTTGATTCAATCGGATTTTTGTTTAAATCAAGAACCAACTCTTAATTTGAGTGGATTTCCTTTTGATTAAACTTAAAATCTGATTGAATCAAGAGTATTTTTTCTTGTCAATGTTTTCAAGAGTCTGGACTCTAGATCCAATGTGCTTTTTTTCCAGTGTAGGTCTTTTCAGTTTTTGAAGGATCTGGCAATATTAAAATGTCGTGAACGGGCGCGAGCCGGTTATTTTAAGGATCAGGTGAAATTATTTGAAACCTCGAATAATTTTCCGACACCCATTACCTATCCAGAAATTTCTCGAGCCTGCGTCTTCTTTGAGATCCGTGCTTTTCCGACGCTTTCCTTCGAAGTAAGGCGTGGGGTAAACTTAGGTGTGAGCAAAAGTAAACAAGTAGCCGCATTTTCCCTCCATCGCATTTTATACAACGATGACTATGGGGCGTTCAACAGATTTCAATTAATTTTCAACGGCTTAACAAAGATACGAAACAAATAAATATTTTAATAAAGAAGGTCATTTTTCAATCGATAAAATGGAACACACTGAATGATTGAACGTGATCCAATATTAAATTACTCTCCACTTTTCTTAATTTCATTGCAGACTTGTCGAAACACAAATTGATGATACATAAATTATTCCGGAACTTCCTAACCTAATTACCCCCGGCCTCTTCGTAAGGTACTCAGAATGCTACTTCACAAGGCTGCGATTTTCAGACCTCAATATATGTATCGACTTAAAATCCGTAAAGTACAGAGGCGGCTCCAGCAATTCGGCAACCTCGTATTCCCTCAATTTAAGCCTATGTAAAATAATCGATTCTTGTGTGAGCACCTGGTCCCTCCAAGAATCGATACATTTCCATAGCTTTAAAAGGAGAAAAACAATGTTGTCAATTTAATGGATCTGCCATAAGTCATTATACGGAATGATTACTATTCCGCAAAGTTTGCCTGGAATCTTCAATCTACGGCTAAAATTTTATTAAAAATCTCGTATCTCCTCTGACGCAAAAGCGTATCTTCATTGCCACATGAGCTCCCCTGGTAAAAATTGGCGATAGGAGCTTCGTTTCAAAATACCATAGGAGATCTTATAGCCGACTGAAGAGGGCGATAGAAAATCATATAGCTGGCTGTAGAAAGTGGAAAAAATCTTACAACCGGGCTACACGAAGCGATAAAAAATTATACAGCCGGGCTATAGTTCCTATCGCCGGGCTTTACACTAAATCGCCTGACTGTTCCTTTTTTGCCATCGGCTATAAAAGGCTATGAGAAATTGTGTAGAAATTCTTGTACTTTGTAAATCCTTCAGTTTGTACGGAATTTCCTTAATATTTACAAAATGCACAATATATTTTCCTTTACTACATGTTTTTTTTCATCAATTAAAATGAGAATAATCCATACAGAGTGTGCAAACATTTCAAAGTCATGAGTTGGAAAACGCTGACTCCGCGAGATTAAATATTGGAGCCTAGCACAAAGCAGAGCGGCGGCGCACTGGCGCCTACAAACCCAACAGGGATACTTCACGCATTGCGCAATGCGTGAAGTATCCCTGTTAGGTTTGTAGGCGCCAATGCGCGTTCAGCGCTGGCTGCCCGCCCGCCACGCCGCCGCAGCGTATCGCGGCGATTGAAGCAATTATTTCACACCAGAGGTATTGCAAAACAGTATCATACGAAATTGAAAGCGCTCCAACATATTAGGAATGGCAGGCATCCTTCAAAAGTACGGAGCTTTCCTCGCAAATTAAATCAAGATACTGCGGCCCAAAAAGAGAGCGGAAGTCCAAAAACTCACTAAGTCCTAGCATCCGTAATTAGTAGCGTTTAGCATATACTTTATCGCCAGGCTGTTGCTTAATCGCCATTGGCTATAAAAGGCTACAAGAAATGGGCCTGTTGCAAACTTTTGCTAGAGCAAAAATAAGAGTTGTTTCTTATAGATAATGCCTCAAAAATCACGATGAGCGCATCGGCAAAGTCTGAAATGCACTCATAACTTCACAGTCTGCGTAAGAAATTTGCGGTTTTTTGAGCTTCCCGCTTCAAAAACGATACTACGGCACAGGTGAACATTTTGTAAGAGGAGTCGTTCCATCGTCGGCAATAATCATCATGGCCGACGCCAATCCGCCAAAACACGTTTGATGGGACGAGATAACACCTGAACTGGATTAAACCAGATAACAATCGGTGTGTTAACGTTCATATTTTCCACGCCCGAATTGATTGACCTTGAACTCTCCTCGAATTACACGCGGAACTGCGCGCAAGCGTCGGCCATGATGAATATCGCCGACGATGGAGCGACTCCTCTAACAAAATGTTCACCTGTGCCGTAGTATCGTTTTTGAAGCGGGAAGCTTAAAAAACCGCAAATTTCTTACGCAGATTGTGAAGTTATGAGTGCATTTCAGACTTTGCCGATGCGCTCATCATGATTTTTGAGGCATTATCTACAAGAAACAACTCTTATTTTTGCTCTAGCAAAAGTTTGCAACAGGCCCATTGTGTTGCCGCCTATAGAAGCTATTGGAAATTTTACAGCCGGCTGTAGGTCTATGGTATTTTGGAACACAGATTCTACTGCCAATTTTTACCAGGGTCCGAAGAGCATGGAGTTATACGGAGCACTAGTGGCGAGACGTGAATGATCGATTATCGATACTTCGCCATTTGAAGCTACGGTAAAGAATCGATTATTAAGGTGTTCGTTGCGAACACCCTGTTTGTCGACCCTTTTCCATAGGTTTAAATGGCAGATCAATCGATATATCGCAAAGCACGTCACGCTACTGCGGAGCTCACAGAGCTCATGTGGAAATCGAGATACGTCCTTTCATCAGAGAAGCGACGATACGCTAAAAAGATACGGATCCTAAATTTTTAAACACTTTGAACAAATAGTGAAAGCTTCATGTAAAATGTTTAAAATTACTTTTTTAAAACTCAGCACTTTCACTTAATATATTTGATGTCTAAAACTATGCCATAAAATATATTAAGTGAAAGTGATGATTTTTAAAAAAGTAATTTTAACCATTTTCCGGATCCTAGACTTCGTATCCTCCAAAGCCCACATCTTTATCGGTAATTTGGACTTCGTTAAACAGAAAGGAACCAAGCCACATCAGCTATTGCCAAATTTAATTGGGCACTTTAATTTTTTACATGAAAACGGTGGTGCGGATTTTCTTGCAAATTTCGGTGAAAATTCTCCATGGTACGAAGCAAATTCCTTAAAAGTTTCAAAGAAATCCGAAAAAACATTCTCTCGTAAAAAATGTAATTGCCCAGTAAAACTTGGCAATAGCTGATGTGGCTTGGTTCCTTTCTGTTAAACTCGGTCCATTTATAACCTGGAAAAAAAAATTCTCTGCATCCCTTAAAGGGAGCAAAAATTGACTTTCGATGCTTATTTTCTTTGAAATTCACACACGGAGAGAACAATTCACTCTTTACATTATATATCCCTCCAACAATGATGCATCCTCCCTATGGCATATGGGACTTCAACTTCAATTTTTTCTGTTGCAGAGTATCTACTGTTGCTGTTTTTCAGCACACTTGGGCTGGTCGCTCCTCAGCGTTCTTTGACGCGGGATGGTTCCTATTCGAAACAGTCTCCCGAGTTAACTGAATCGACTCAACAGGTAAAAAATACTATTTTCCCACAAAATTATGATGCACTTCATGACGCTCCCCAAGTAGCATTTCTAAACGGAAAAATCGCCATATATTTGCGATTTTATCGCCGATAAAATCGCCAGGATCATCAACATTTGAGCGATTATCCTCGATCTTATCGCGGTAAAATCGCGCTTATATCGCCTGGCAATTGATTGCGATAAATGGCGATTTAATCTTGATTTTATCGACAAAAATTGATCACGATTTTCTCGAACCAAAAAATGCGATAAGTAGCGATTTAATCGTCATAAATCGCAATTTTTAATGTGATTATATCTCGAAACATTGCCATTGATATAATCGCGATAACCAATCGGTACAATCACTATTTATCGCGATCACTGCTGCTCTTCCCCCCCCCCCCCCCCCCNCGCCGGTAATTTGTTCGGATTCATTCCTTCATTATACGGAATTATGTGCATTACAACGAATAACTTCAGATACTTATGATAAAAAATATCAAACTTCAAAATGATATGTGTGTCGCTTATTAAAACTTGAAAACCCTTTAAACCGTAGCGGTATGCGAGATGCGACTTGAAAAATCTCGTAAGATGCCCCTACAATTATTTAAGTAGATAACCAATGGTGCCCGTAAGATGCTTCGTAGCATACCTTTAAAAATGAAGGCGTCCTGCAGACAAGAACTTGTGCTTCATCTCATGAATCCAGCTTAGCTTCCAGTATTAGTTTTTACGTTCGTAAACGTAGGCGTAGGAAAAATACGCAAAGTAGGCGAGTGGGCCACAGTTAAATAGTCTTAAAAATAGTGTTACGATGAGATTTTACAAAACCGAATTCGAAATGGTTATCCAGTTCTGGACTCGCGAAATACAGTTCCAATGACCTGGAGAAAATCTACGCTAATGACTTTATTTCCTCCATCTTCGATACGCAGAGACTCACATAACGAAGTTTTTGGAGAACTTTATTCATCAAGTGGCATCGATGATTGATGAAGCGATGAATGCTTAAACAATCCAAGCGCCTCATCAAAACTTGGCGCGTGGGTGAAACGGGACGGCTGAATCCGTCGTAATTCACCTTCGCAAGTCCCGAGTCGAATTGAGAAAACTTTCGATTGCAACGTGCAGACAATCCTAACCTTTCTTTGAATCCGCATAGCCCATTTATTGGAGGATACTTTAGTCGGTTTCAGTTCAGTCCCTCTTATTCCAATACGGTCATGCTAATAAGGAAGAACGCCGTATGAACCTTCAGCCGTTGCCAAATTTCCTTTAACAAAACACAATTGCTTTAGAGGAGCCACTTTTTCTGACTCATTTTAGATACAACATATCGACGGTGAAACTACCAAACCACGTATCTCGGTTTGCGACGTCGCAGACTTCCTGTCATACTTTATTTTTTAAATGAAAAACTACTTAACATCCAGTCTTGAAAATTTCTGTGATTTTTCCTCTTGGTGCGGAGAAAATTCCGTGACAATTTCAAGGAATGATGTTGATTTGGTCTACTTCAAAAAAATAAAATGTGAGCGGAGATTTTTAAACACCGCAAACGAGATACGTGGTTTAGTAGTTTCACCGTCGATATGGATTGCATTTTGCAAAAAGGAACCAGGAGCATTGCAATGTTGTTAAGATTGTGCGACCTCTTTTGTCTTGGAAGAAAAATCTGATTATCTATTAACAGTTTCTTTTTCCCTCGCTAAGACCTGTAAATTTAAGACAAAAATTACCAGGTAAATTTCATACTTTTCCAGGATTTCAATAGTTTCATTGCAAAGGATGAAGTTGCATAATCTTAGCAACATTGCAATGCTTCTGGCTCCTATTTGCAAGATGCAATCCATATATCGACGGTGAAACTACCAAACCACGTATCTCGTTTGCGGTGTTTAAAAATCTACGCTCACATTTTATTTTTTTGAAGTAGACCGAATCAATATCATTCCTTGAAATTTTCACGGAATTTTCTCCGCACAAAGAGGAAAAATCACAGAAATTTTCAAGACTGGATGTTAAGTAGTTTTTCATTTAAAAAATAAAGTATGACAGGAAGTCTGCGACGTCGCAAATCGAGATACGTGGTTTGGTAGTTTCACCGTCGATATGCCATTAGTTTCCCCATGCAGATACGTGCTTTCATGGAGGAGCCAGAGATAGTGGTTCCTTATTACAAAATGTAATCCATTTAATGCATGCAAATATATATTTTTTCGGATAATTGTAAACTACTTGACCTCATTTTGCGTGAAATTGATGCTTCGTTCCAATAAATCAGAAATAGTACTAATACGTCGATAGAACTGAACGAATGGGGAATGCCTGCGTGACGCCACGTGCCGTCACGCACACGATAGGAGTGCGTGATTGAAATTGAATTGAACAGGTTTCCTCGAAAAAAAAGAAAATTATTTTCAATTATTTCTTATTCTTTCGTATGAAGTAGACCATCATTTTTCTTCTCTCTTCGGCCTAACATCTTTTTTTTCGCTGTTCAACTTCAGACTTTTGGCGTCATTGAGACTTCAAAGTTATCGCGTGATTAAGGATATGAGGCATTTCTGTAGCAGCTCGCATCAATCATCATGCGTATTGACAGCTGGACTTCATCGTTGGTAAATTTAGAAGAGCCCAAGAGGAAAAACGCGATGCAGAATACTGGTCAACAAAAAAAAAAAAAAAAAAAAAAAAAACTTTTTTGCCCCTTGAATATCAAGTGTTTCAGAATCAACTTACAGCGCTGAGTCCGAAAATGACCTCCGTTTTGCTTGGTCAGGTCCATCGTCTCCCTCAGAAAAATCGGAATTTTCCCTAAAAATCGAGCTTTCCCGGAGAGAAATCAATTTTCCGGGAAATATGTATGAAGAAAAACGTAGGTCATTTTCGTATTCAAAAACCAAGATTGCCTAGGACACTAAGTGTGGCATGTCTGTTAAAGTTTTCATTATGTTCCTAATATCGAGGTTTTTTTGGACGAGTGCTCTTTTCCGCCCGTATAACACCATGTAAAAACCATCCGATTGTTTTGCGTCAGAAAGGATGAGAAATTGTTTTTCTCAGACACCAAACGGAGGTAGCCTCACTCAATTTTTCCCGCTGAAGCCGAAAATGACCCTAATTTTCTTCCAAAGTCTACAACTTTTTTGTAAATTGACTTTTCAAGAGCATTCTCTTGAAAAGTCAGTCGCTTTTCCGGCTCAAAAAAAGCTCCAAAAAATTCCGTCTTTTGGGAATCTTGATTTTCCCAAGGTTTTGAAAAATAAAGGTAATTTTCGGCTTCAGCCGCAAAAATTGAGAGGGTTTAACTCCACTTGTTGGTTGAGCCAAAGAATTGCCCCCTCGGGGAAAATCGACCTGACCTAGCAAAACTGCATGAGGTGATTTTTGGATTAGCGCTAGAAGTCCACCCAGAATCACTTAATAATTAAGGGGCAAATTTACCAGTGTTGACCAGTGTAATCGATGGTACTTTACCCTTTAGTTTTCTGCATGAAAGAGACATTGACGTCAGAACATTGCACTAACGGTATCACGACTGGTCTAAGAAATAACCGAGCTGAAAGAATAAATTGCTGCTAAAAATACTAGGAAAGTTTTCAACACAGCCCTTTTCAAAGAATGTAAAACTTGCAGGGTCTCAATAATGCTTTATGTGATTAGCTGCATTGTTTTCCTGTCCTTCTTATTGCTTCTAAATGCACAGCATGCTTCTATTATTGCATAAAAAAATGTCATCCAAATATTTCTTAGTTTATACTTTGCAAAAATAATATCAAAAGAGGATTTGTTATTTATGATACTTTTTACGGTTGATGTCATGATGTTCTGCTTACTAAACTGCAAGTAGATAGATTCAGCACAAGAAAGTAGTTACTCATGGGCTCATTTGACGTTTTTCAAATTGCGGCCGGACGCTCGATGCTAGTATGTTTGGACGTATTTGTGCGCTAAAAGGAACTATAATGTGCAAGTGGAAAGATGGGGGTGTGCTCGTGGTGAGCTGGATAATAAACAATGTAAAAGTGGCTATAGTTCCTTTTGAGAAAATGGAAAAGCAGGATTTGACATTGAATCAAAAGGAAATGAGCGCTAACTCGTGAGCCGTGAACATGCGACAAAAGCCTTGTGGACAGGGCTCATGAGTTAAAGCCGAGCAAGAACGACAATGGAAACGGCTTCGCTGCTGCTGACGTCACTGGTGCTTTAAAGCCCCACTCATTCTAATGGCCCTCAACTAACGAGCACACCCCATCTTTCCACTTGCACGTACATAGTTCCATTTAGCATAAATACGTCCGTTTCTGAGGGCGGTGTTCCCAGTATGGCCCGTGCGCCTTCAAATTTTAGATATGCAACACGCCTATCTATTGAGGAGAATAATACAGAGAAGACGTTGCTGTCATTAACATCCTGTTGCTTTACATTTCGCATTTGTCCGTCGATCGATTTGAAAATGTGCTGAGAGTTCCCTACTCACGTTCGAAGTGGTTGAAACAAATTGATTTTTATTCTGCAGCCGAAGGTTAAATTTTACTTTTTTAACTAAGGCCGAAGATAAATTTTGCTTTTGTGACAATTTTTATCATGGTGTCAAATCTTAATTTGGCATGTGCTAGGATCGCAGGAAATGCAAATCAGAGGCAAAGTTTAAAGAGGAGTCGAATTTAACGTCACTCTCAGATTTTTGCCAACTTTCCTACCGAAAAGGCTCATTCCTTTGTTACTCCTGTTTTCTTCATTGCTGCTCGGAAGTGCACAGGGATTTTTCCGGTGGCAAGGCGTGAATGATCGACTATCGATGTTTCCCCATTTGAGGCTATGGTAAAGAATCGATTATTAAGTTGTTTGTTGCGAACACCCTGTTTATCGATCCTTTTTCATAGATTTAAATGACAGATCAATCGATAGATCGCAAAGCACGCCAGGTCACTGGATTATTAGTGTAGGTGTGTAGGTAAAACTTATTTCGTATGATATAAGTTTTACAAATATGAATAATCCAGTGGCGTGGCGTGCTTTGCAGTAGATCGATTGATTTCATAGGAACTAAGTTATTAAGGACATACTGGAGATTCTATCAACATCATTAATCGAAATATTACTTTTTTAGCTCAAAACGATTGCGTGCTGACTGCTGAGTGGGTATCTATCGTGTTCGCACTCTTCAAAAATTGCAGCGAAACTCAGCGATGGAGAATCATTTGCGCCATAAAATTTCAGCATGTAAACGTATTTAATGAGCTTGATGCAGGGGTTTGCCTCTATTTTTTTGTTATTTTTGTTGTGAACTGTGGTAAATTCAAGAGAAATATAGATTAAACGATATTCACGAAAACACGTCGCGTAACTAATAAATCGCTGTAAAAAATATCGTGTCTGATCCGAGTGTAAAAATGTGCTCAATATCACGATCCACGGATATTCTTTCGAGAGGAATTTTTTCCTATCCATCAAACACTTTTTTGCGAAAAATTGAAAATTTTCGTCGCAAGGTATAAAGCGCTTAAGGAGAACGTTGTTTTGGCGCTTTTAAAACTTCTGCACCCTTGAGATTTTTCAGACTTAGAATTGGTCCCACAGTTCAAGCTTTTTTATAAAATGATGACCACAAAAACCATTAAAAATAGTCATTGTAAGTCCTAATTTGGCGCGTTGGCGCCTGTGAGTTTTGAACACTGTGCCCGAAATCACTCTTAATATTGGCAGGCCCACCGATATTTTCTCCACTTTTCCGTGGAGTTAAAATAAATTGCCCGTTATGGCTACACCGTGATGAAAAAAAAAAAGATTATTCATCGAACACATTTATTTTCTTTACAGGTTTCAGTTAAATTCTTTGGCGAAAAGCACATTCATTATGCCTCGAGGCACATTCAGCTGTTTCGTCCCTAAGAATCTATTTCGTAAACCCTAAAATAAAACTGAAAGTCTGCGAACAGAGAAATGTTGCATTCAATGCTCAAATCGAGCGGATAATTTTTGCGCTTGCTCACTTTCGGACTTATTTTATAGTTTACGAAATAGATTCTCTGGGAAAGAGAAAAAAATGAAATTTGTAAATGAAATTCTCCTGAAAATTACCCAAAATTTGTCCCCCCCCTCCTCTCTCTCAATCTTTTCTTTTTCTTTTCCCTTCTTGAAAGCATCTGTGTCCGTTTACCATTAGCATTTATTAAAAGCGGTAACTTTCCCTGGAATACATGGTGCATCAAACGGCACCGATTTTATCAACACGTTCTAACTACACAACCTATGCAACTAACACAAACTATGCATTTTCGCCAATTTAGAGGAGTGCGTACTTTATGGACGACCCTATATCCTGAAAACCATTCAATGCATTAGGTACATCCAAAATCTGACCTCAGATTCAAATTCCTCGTTGAAAATCATCTGAGAAACATGTATCATACGTAAGAATCGGACGATGGGATGAATGTCCAATGGTTCCTCAAGTTCGACGTGGGTGGTCACTCAGTGCACCCGAAAGAAGTGGGTCAGTAGTGGAAGAGACAGATAGCGAAGAAATCAAATCACGGAAACCGAATCAAAGGTTCCAGGCGCCGGCGTTACCGCAAATTCCAAAGGGGCGGCGCGCCACAAAGGAATTGGAGATATCGCCAGACAGACTGGCGACAGGCGACGCGCGATGGACCCTTGATGAAGAGAGAAGGGGAAAGAGGGGGAAGAGCCCACCGAGTGTTTCACTAATATGCCACCTGGGAGCGTTGCGTTGATGGTCAAATAGTAAACGCAAGTGCATTATTTCTCAGTTCCTGTTTGATAATTATTGAGGTTCAGCTTACGGTTGATTATTATATTGAACTTTAGAAAAGTTTTATTATATACTGTGAGAGTCTATTGCTCATTATTTGCCGCAGGAAGGAAATCCATTTTTCCTGAAAAGAGATATATAAAAAGTGCATTTAAAAAGACTGCAGGGAAGATGTTAGACACAAACTATCAGACTATTTACCATTTTTTTCAAATTCTTCTTCTTGCTTATTCCATTTTGAAAGGGGCTAATTATTTAGGGGAAAGGAGATATTGGGGGGAGGGGGGGGGCGGCATACATATACGTGTTACCTGACTTTTCCATCGTCGGCCGGTGTGTAGGTATTCCATCCACGAATTCCGCATCGTATTTGCCATAACTTAGGAGCAACGATTCTTATCACGCGGTGGAAGATAAAAGTGCCGTTCAATGGCTAAAAAATGACTTGGTTCTTAAGGAATTGCTTTTTCGGATCATAATATTGCTGTGGTGCGTGGACGCCGCCCTTTTGAAGTTCTCATTCAGTTTCGTCGAGTAGGCAACAAAACCTACCGGGAAGTGCGAATAGTTATCGATTCGAAAAGTAACCATTTCGATGGCCAAAGGGCGAAACCACGAATCCCCATTGCACTGTTTCAAAATTTCCGTAACTCCTTAATTTTGTGGAAGAGAAACGAGCCAACTTCATTACTTGAACTCTCTACAGAATATCGACGGTGAAAGTCGGCAATCACATAACTCGGTTTGCGACGTCGCAGACTTCCTGTCATACTATATTTTTTAAATGGAAAACTACTCAACGGCAATTCCTTAAAACTGTCATGATTTTTCTTCTTAATTTGAAGAAAATCCTGCAAAAACTTCAAGAAATAATGTCAATTTAGTTCTCCTTTAAAAAAATGACGTACAGGCGGAGATTTTCAGACACCGCAAACGAGTTATGTGATTGCCGACTTTCGCCGTCGATATTCAATCGACAAAGAAGAAAAATCAAGGGAGAAGTAATTGCTTTGACAAGATTTCCAAAGAAACAAATAAAGTACGATAGGATGTCTGGGACGCCGCAAACGGAGATACGCGGTTCCGCACTTTATAGCCATCGATTGATCTCGTTCGAAAATTCTATCAGAATCATTAGACAACGCGTAAACCAATTAATTAGCAGGTATCATTCACTTGAGGTTCACCTCGATTCAGTGCAAAAGACGCGATATTTTAACAGGTGTTTCTTCAATGGACCACTAGACAAGGTACGAATTCAAGCATTCTGATACATATTTTTTAACCAAAATTTCACGTAAAACACGATGCGCACAACAAAAATTACCGAAATCAACCCCTTACAATGATATTAAATGATTCCTGATGCGTGAATTCAAACCACCGGCTCATTAAAACTCAATAATCTACGTGATTCACATTGCGCGCTGAACATTATCATGACAGTCTTTGCGATATAAAAATCTGGGAACCTCAATTTTGACGCTTGGGCTCAGCTATAGCTAATTACTTATAGTTTGAAAAACACATGGTGGGAAATGAACATTGCTCGATTGAGAAGCTTGCTGAAACCTTTGTAGTGCGCGATTTGACTCACGTAGAGCTTTGAGTTTCTTGTGAGTGGACAGTTCAAATTCCTCGTAACCAATATGAAATAAAAATGTCAATATCTCCGTTAGGAGTTGGTTTTAGTAATTTCCGTTGCGCGAGTCGTAATCTACGTGAAATTTTGGTTAAGATACATGTATCAGATTGCTTAAATTTGTACCTTGTATAGTGATCCATTATTCTTTTCTTTTGAGCGAAGGAATGAAGAGGCGGTTCCTTGAGTACCTAATAAGTAGCCCTTGAGTTATAAGTATGCTACCGGCAAGACAGTTGAATTTCTTCAAGATGAAGATATCCTTCTAATATTTTTGCTCGCGATGAATTGTGTCCCTCCGTAAAAAAAAAAAAAAGAAAAAAAGAAAAAAAAAATTATATTTTATAGAAAATAGTAACAACGGCTATGACGTAATCTGCCGTGGTAAGGAAAAACGCCGTACGAACATTCAAACGTTGCCAAGTTTCTCCCCAGAAAATATACTTTCTTAAAAAAAGTTATGGATATTTTTCCTAGAAAGCAGACTTTTTAGAAGAAATTACGAACGATGTCCTCTGAAAAACCGGAAGAGAATTATTCACAAATTTCCCTGACAATTCGTGATTTGCCGGAGGACGTTTGGCAACACCTGATGGCTCATACGGCGTTCTTCCCTAGCACGGCATAAATGTCAACATCTTTGCCTCTCTATTTGAGAGGTGCTTACACCCACTTTTGTTCACTGTGAATGATTGCAGCAAACCGGGAATGAAATCCAGAGAATCTTGGAAACTTTACGACTGTCACGAGAGCTTTCAGAGGAAGGCAGACAAGCGGATGATTGGAGACAAGAGTCGGGCTTAGACTATCCTGCGGAATCGTCGGGCAACTACGGAGGTGGGATGTCAGCGGTGCCATCGCTCTTCAATCAAAGGCTCATGATGACACTCCGCTCAATGCCCAAGGATGATTCCGCTCTGGGCACGGGGAAAAGAGGGAAATGTAAGTTGCCAAGACCAGAATGTCAAGACAAAAAGGTATCTGGTATTCAGTGTGTATTAAAATTCATTTGACTTTCACATCGACGGTAAACTGCAAAAACGCTTACTTATCCCGTTTGCCGTAGCCCAAGTAGCAAAATAGAATTTTATTCTAGGAAAAAAATATTGAGAAAATTGAGAAAAAACAAAGAAAATGAGAGTTATCCAAAATATAAAAAGAAGAAAACATTGCGAGTCAAAAGTCTGACCAAAGAAAATAGATCTATTTCGTAGGTCTACTTTCTGTCAACTTCCCATTTGGAAAAAAGATGGAAAATTTATTGAAAGTAGAATTATTTTTTAGCCAAATTCTTAGTGTTTTCTTTTAAGAAAATGCAAGGAAAAAATGTATTTTCATTCTATTTTCTTGTGTCTATTTTCTAGATCTACTTTATACCTATTTTCTTTCAAGAAAATTTTTCTATCAAGAAAGTAGACATTTTCTTGATGAGCGCCACCTAGAAAGTAGATGACAGTGCTACTATACATAGAGTACCTATATGAGGCCTTATATGTAACAATGGCGGATGTGAAAAATTACCTTTTCGAAACACGCTTAAAAAACTGTTTTGTTCACACGTAATATGTTTGGCTTTGGCATAATGTGCAGATCTCGAAGATCACATCTCAAGTATTTTCTCAAAATTTTCTCAATGCCAAAACAGTTTTTTTAATGTGTTTCGAAAAGGTAATTTTTCACATCCGCCATTGCTGCATACAAGTCCTCATATACGGGAGGGTATTGCTATCTCTGTGCCGCTCGTTGATTGGTTCATCAGTTTTAGGCCTTCATGGAGCTCCAAAGTTGGACCAATGTAAACAAACCAGACCCAGAGGGACACGTATTATCGGCTGAGAAATGAATGATAATCATACCCAAAGGTTAATTTTTGGCATAAATATCCATCAAAGTTGGAGTCCAAGCAATTCAGAAGTTGGATATTAAAAAAATTCCATCACCTCCCAAATCACGTCTAGAACTTTATTGAACTTTGTCGCCATCTGGTTTGTTTAAATTGGGCCAAACTAGGAGCGGAGGGGCTGGAGTTTGTTTTCATTGGTCCAACTTTAGTGCTCCATGATAGCCGACCAATCAGAGAGTAAGTAAACTTTTTCTGTAGTAAAAGGATTGAGATGGCAATACTCTCCCATATACACATACTCTACTTTGCGGTATTTTCAAATCTCTACTCCCATTTTATAACAAAAGAGTGCGAATGAACACAATTGTTTGAAAGTATAGAATGCTCTTCGCATCGACAAAGAAAATCAGCGAAATTTTCAAGGACATTAACAATTTTCCGTAAATAATAAAATAAACGATGACGGGAAGTCTGGAGCGTCAGACATTTCAGTGTTCGACATTTTATTAGACACTGAAAGGGGCAAGTTGGCTGTGTTCGATGGATGTCCCCACTTCATTGATATGTGACTCTGGAATGGTTAGTCCGAGGAGAACCGGTCTGGTACCGTGAGAAACCCATTAAAATGCTATAACTCATAATCGAACCTTTTGATTTCATTGAAAATTTCGCGAGAAGTTGATGACACTGGTTTTTATTAAACTTGTGCAAAATTTCAGTGGAGACTCGTTGGAGTCAAAAGTTAAAGCAGTAAAAGTTGCGACGGTTCACTTTAAAGCCCGCAAAGCCTTGAGTTCCGGGAAATCCTGCTAAGAAAAGCAGGGTTGCGACAACGGTGTTGCCAGTTGGACTACATTTTGGAATTTGGAACTATAAATTCTAGCCCGGATTAAAAACAACGTACGTGCCATTAGTTTCCCTATGAACATGAGAGTTTTTCAAGGAGAGTCAGAATTTATTTAATAGTTCAGGGTAACGTGTCTGGCAATTTACAAAAAAAATATTCCATTTTCCTGATTTCCCAGACAAAAACGACCAAAATATCAGAGAAAAATCCAAAATTCCCTGACAGACGGAAAAAAGAATTCCTTCACATTTCCCTGACGAAAAGGAAAACATTCCTAACTTTTCGACACGTGTGAATCGATGTCTGTAAGTAAGAATTTGTTTCGTGTTTTATGAATATAATGTAATAAATTGAGCAAAATATATGTATGACGCCTAAACTAATGCGAGATATTTTTGCCTCATTTTTAAAATTTAAAAGACATCAGCAGAAATTCTGGTAGAAATTTCAGAAACATTTTCCGGAAAATCCGTGTTTTTCGATTTACCTGACACGAGAATCGCTTGCAAAATAGAATCCCTGACATGCCGAATTTTGGCAGATTCCCTGCCGTTTCCCCTCATTTTCCTGACACCCAAAAAAAATTCCCTGACATTTCTCGGTTGCTAGACACCCGGCAGTTACATTGTGCCCAGGATGGAGAGGTACACCCTTTGAATTTGGGAAAGATATTTGTAACGCATGAAAAATGCAAAAATTAAAAGGTAAAGAAGAAAAAGAAAACACGATTTATAATGCTTCTTGTGATGATATCAGCGAGCTGCGTGCAGTAAAATGAGTAAACTAACAATGAGTTGCGTTCAGTTGGGTCACGCAACTAAACTAACCTCCCGGAGAAGCGAGAAGTATCGCCAGATTTGAAGGCGTTCAAAGCGTTCGGTTGGGTCACGCAACTAAACTAACCTCCCGGAGAAGCGAGAAGTATCGCCAGATTTGGAGGCGTTCTAAGCGTTCGGTTGGGTCACGCAACTAAACTACCCTCCCGGCAAAGCGGGATGTATAGCTAGTATTTGAAGGCTCTCCCAGCGTTCACAAACTAACAGTTAACTGAGCGTTCACTAAAACTTGCCAGGTTCCGAAAGATTATCAGGCAGAACTAGCATTTATTTCATTCATATAAGATTAAGCAGACGACTGCGATGTGAGCCTTATAAATGCATTATATCTTTTGCACCATGGAACTAAAAGTTCTGGCTCATCCAAAAAAGTTTGCAACATGCCCATTGTATCGCCATCGGATTAGAGTGCGTGGAATTGCGTTTTGCGCGAAGCACGCATTAATCGCTAATAATGTCCGCATTTACATCTTGTGTAATGGTCCATTGTGTATCGGTAATCAATCATGGGTAAGAGTGCATCTAGAGGACTCCCAAATTCGGTGTAATGGTTTTCAGGCCACAGCAACTGGTGGATATAGTCAATTATTACGAGTGGCTCTCCGATTCGGTGTTTCGAAGAAGGACTCCTACAGTCTTATACTGATGTGCTGAGGAAAAACACCGTATGAGCCTTCAGACGTAGCTAACTTTTCGTTCGATAAAATACAAATATATGGGGAAAATTGTGAATATTTTTGTCCAATTTTTTGTGACAATATTGTAAGTATTGTTAATATGAAACATTAGAAGATTTCAAGGAAAAATATGCACAACAATCCTCAAAAACACATTTTTTATCCGGGAACATTTGGCAACTCTCCAATGTTCATCTGCGGCGTTTTTCCCCAGCATGGCACTATACCGCCGTAACGAGGCAGAACGCCGTATGAACATTCTAGAGTTGCCAAAATTCCTCCAATAAAATGTTTAATTTTGAGGAAAGATATAATAATTCTTCTTGAAAACTTCAAATGTTCCATATTAAATTGCTTACAATATTGTCAAAAAAATTAGACACAGATATTCAACATTTTCCCAGCATATTTGTATTTTATCGAACGAAAATTCGGCAACGTCTGAGGACTCATGCGGAGTTTTTCCTCATAAACGCTTTTCCGTATGAAAATTCTAGAGTTGCCAAATTTCCTTAGATAAAATGTTTATTTTTGAGGAAAGTTATGAATACTTTTCCTTTATATTTTCAGAATCTTTAGGTAAAATTGCGAACTAAATTATTTGAAAAATTGGGAGGAAAATATTCATAAATTTACCAGGAAATTTTCGTTTTATCAAAAGAAAGTTGGCAACGCCTGAAGGTTCATACAGCGTTTTTCCTCAGCACGGCAGTATGCTCCTGTACACCGAAGCAACAACACTGCTGCCCCTCTCTCGTAAACGATGTATCATCTCTCTAGTTTTGAACTCTTCATTTTTAATTTTCAGATATGTCACTTTGTCACTTCAAAATATGCAACATGGGCAGGAAACGATGGAAGGCGTGGCCATAAGAAACAGAGTCACCACTAAAAATCAGTTTAGCTTAATACCATTCTTAGAGCATATCAACATAAATTCAAAATTCTATTTCAATGGCATTGGTTCTGAATTTTTAACATCGACAAATACATGTCAATTTGTTTGATTTCATGTAGTTCAAAATTGTAAAATGATAGGAAGTAAATACATTTAATGATACTGAAAACACGCAGTCTTCAATTAATTCACATTGTAACCATTACTAGTCCGTCTAATAATTCTCACTGTGAATGCTTGAAATCTGTTAATTATAAGTTTATCAACTATAAAGTGTGTATGTACCTGTATTACAAAGCCTCACTAGAGGCAAGAAGTGATTACACTCAGGTTTTGTGATGATCTATATTTAGAAAATGCCTCATTCTGCTGAGGAGGAAGAGGTTTTTAGTCCACATTGTGAGGAAACACTGATAGAGATTCTGCTTTGCTTTGAATTACAGGTGCAGTACAAGAGAAAGGTCAAAAAAATGAAAAAAGTGCCGTAAGAGATAAGTATTTCCACGCTCTGATATAAAGACTCCCTATGAGGTTGTGAGGTCCAAAAAAAGATTCCCTTTGACTCTGGAGAACAAAACAATAAAAGGCACCAAAACGAACGGCATTAATTCCATTAATGGATGTAAACTTCAAGGCCAGAGAGAAGGATAAATGTCAGACCTTAAAAGATTATTGGAATGTCATTAATAAATACCATATTTTAAAAATAAGGCTTTCTCACGTTTGAAAAAGATGGTTCTGAGGGATCTGACAAAGAAAAATCTGAGGTGCTCACAGCTTAATCATTACTGTTTTGAAGTCAAATGTGCCTACGGCCATACCCGAGACTATGAACACCTGCTCATCTGTCCCGACATAGACACAACTTGCACTCTGCAAGATTCGGTTAAAGTTGATGAGAAGGCAATTTATGCGGCTAATTTTTGGAAGCACAATATTTATCAGTGAAAAAAAAAAGTGACTCAAGACACAATCAATCAGTTGCTGTGTTAAAATAAATTATTATTTGTTAAACAACTGAGCTGTAACACAAGAAAGCTGCTGGAAATTCAGTTTTTAACAAAACATTTGGTACAAAATTTGGTTTATACAAATAAAATTTACAAAAGTAGCTTAACATAAGCCACCGAGCGAGTAATTTTGTCAGGAACTTCTGCAGAACGCTCCAATGTCAATAAAAAAATATCTAAAAATATTCCTTTCTTTCAAAGAGTGTTTTTGGAAAAAATTTTGCTCACATACTTTCCCACAGAGCTGTCAGTTAAATTAGTGAAAACTACCTCACAAGTCATACATATGAACAAAACGTTCAATTTTGTGAAATTGCCAATCCCACTGATTCACCATAATTACTACTTTCTTTTGTCAACATAATGAAATTTGGCAGATTTTTTGGATAAACTTCCTAGCAAAAATACCATCTGAAAATACTATTGGGGGTGAAAGTCAAGTACGGTTCATAGCTTGAAAATGCCAATTTTTATTCTTGTATTTCAAAAGTGTACCTAAAAAATTGTTCATTTCGAAAAAATTTAATATGCATTTGCATTCATTCTCCTGTCCATTCCTTGGATTTGCAGGTAGTCTTTTAATTCAACCATTTAATTCACATTCTGCTCAGGTGTTATGTCTTGATCTAAAATTTAGACCCGTTTTAATCCTTTACCAAGACAAGCCTTAGGATAGAGCCAGAAATGCAGAATTCCATACCACTCGACTAGCCTGGTCCAAGGCCAGCCTTTTGAAAAGAGCAAAAATGGGATATGGCTGCCAGAGGTGTCAGATTTTTTTGATGGTTTTGTTCGTACAACATATTTGAATTAAGTAGGTCTAATATTTTGGGGAAAGGAAGTTTAGTTTATTTTTGTTAAGTCTTGAAGGGGAGAATAATAATGATTTCAGATAAAAATAGGGAAAAGTAAATGTAATTTGTGAAAACTTCTTAGGGCTAAAATATAGTTGTTCAAGAGACAGGACATTTCTGCCTTGTAAACAACTGTACTTTAGTCTCAGTTAGTACCTATTTTTTTTTTTTTACTTTTTCTTGGAATTTTCTGCATCCCTGTAGGGAGCAGTCAAGTGTTGGTTTTTTCGCGGGTTTCGATATAACAAATTTTATCGCCAGTCCTCAGAAATAAGTTTTACAGTATATCATTCCTAAGTTTTTCTTCCTAAATCTTAGACAAGCCATTTTGCATTGAAATCGAGCTAAAACAGGACAATTCTTTCTGATAAGTTCCTCTGCACTGAGGAATTCTCATTTTAAAAGTTTCCTGTGATTTGAGCCTGATTGATGGAATAATTTGTGTATACAGCTATATAATAACTATTTAATATTTTTTTTAAAAAATTGCCCAACAACAGTGGTCAAGCAGATAAATCAGCTGGATTTTTCAAAGAAGAGAATATGTTTCTGCCTTGACTCATGATAAAACTTGAGACAATGAGGAGGGCAATTCAGAATTAAAATTTGAACTACAACACGCTTAATATAGAATATAAATAAACAATCAATCACATAAAAGTAAAAAAAAACAGCAATAGAATCAAATATCACAAAAACTTCAGTCATGAGAAGATTCTTGGTTTTCCTGGGAAGGGACAAGATGAATATTTGACCACACTATACGCTTTCAGTAGCAATTCACCATGCAACAAGTAGTTAAAACTTTAGTTTTGAATAATTTTATACTTGGGAGACAAATATTTTCTGATTAGTTATACTTGTCTTAGGAAAAGAGACGGTTGAAAACATTAAATCCAATATTCAACTTTAAGTTAAACTGAAGCTAAAAAAAAAAAAAAAAAATTAAATGAATTGTAATACTAAATTTGGGAGGATTTGTCTGATACTGATTTGCTGTCAGAGATCTAGCATAAACACGTCTTCTAATAACTCCCGATAGCCGATTGATGCTGTTGTATTCAAGTATAGAGATGATCTTTTAATTGAAAATAGCCATTACTGAAAACCATTAGAGCAGGTATATGTCATTTTTAAGGTTTTAAAAAAAGAACTTTCGTACGGCTACTGAAAATAAAGGAAAAAATGATCCAGTCGATAATTTCAAAACTATTTACCTTATGCATGCATATTGAAGGAAATCTACAGACACAAAATTTCCCACACCACTGCCAGTCTGTTCAACAGGTGAATGTACTTTGATTTGTCGCATGTGAGTATCTCTTCCATTTTGATGGTTACTTATGACGGCAATTTGAATCATAAAAGTTCGGATGGGTCGATCATGAATGTCTTTGATGGGAATTGTGACCCATCCGGAGGGTTCATTTAGGTCTACTACTTCCACTTCTTGTAGATCATTGAAATTCGTTCCCGCTCTTATTGAAACACTGCAACAATAAAGAAAAAAATACATGAAAAACTGCTGAAAAATTTATTAGATGCTTACCAAGAAAAGTTTCTGATTTTTTACCTGTGTTTCATTAGTAAAAAGATGAAGTTGCAGAGTAAACCGACAAAAAATGGGAATGTACTTTGACAAGATTTTTTAGATGTAATTTTCAAACAATCTTATGAAAATAAAAGCTGGATTTATCATTTACCTTTATCCCCCCCCCTCCTTTTTTTTTATTTAAACACATTTACTTAGTACGCAATTTACTACAATTTACTGGTATCCAGGTCACCTTAAGACTCGTAACATACATAGTTCCCGCGCGCTGCGTCAATTTTGAAGACTCATAACTCTGCTTTTACTCGTTTCCCCACAAAAAACTTGGGCTTGTTTTAAACCTTAAACCCTTTACTTTCATTTAAGATGGTTTTTTTTACTCCGCACCAACCGAACGACTGTAAGTCTTGAGAAACAAAAATTTACGAAAGGGGCACCTTGTGTAATTTGCCGAAAAGTGGGTCAAAATTTAAAATTTCACTAATTTTATACACATATTCTAATAGCTCTAATTTTCTGGAAATTTTGACACCAAGATCATCTTTTTACTTTTGTAAAGTTTTACTTCAAAGTTTTTGACTTTGACCCCCTCTCCCCCCCCCCTTTCCTTGAGGGTTAGGCTTAATAAAACCAGTTTTGATTGTCTGGGAAGACCCTCTTTCATCCCTGAGAAAATCGTAGGATTCCGTGTTTAGGCCGATTTGGCCAAAAAGTAGTGAGGTTCTTTATGTTGAATGGTGCCATTTCTCAATGTGACATTTGTCAATTCTTTCTTTCCCCAGTTCTACTTCCTGAGCAAATAACATCAAGTATTCATAAAAAACTTGAGAACAAAGGAAAGCTCAATAGTTTTAAGGTAGCTGAATTGAGCCCTGACAATTTGAACAATTTCCATTATTTACAGGATAGAATATTCCAAGGGTTAAAGGTAAAGGGATTTTGAAAAAAGAAATTAAGAGAAAAAAAGTTCATTCTTACCGACTTGGAGTGTAGCTTTCGTCCATTTTGTAATCAGTGTAAATGCAGACATCTCTAATTGTTGTTTTGCGCCTAAATTGAACATTGACTAGGTGAGGTAGCTGTCCGTCCGACTGCCAGTAGGTATCAACACAGTCATCTCGCAGTTGATCGACTCCGAAACCTGTAAGGATCAATGAAGATGAATTGAAAATACATACTTAAGGATAAAAATAACTTCATTGAATTAGGTTGGTGCAAACAGATCAGATTCATTTAAAAAGAGGATATTTTTACGCACACCAAGAATGACATCGTCTGATGCAGGTCAGCAAAAGCTGGTTTAATACTGAGCTCATAACGATATTGTTTGTAATGCATATTCATCAGAGCTCTCCATCCTGACAGGTTTCTAGTCAACCTGACCTTTCTGCATTGGTAGAGAATAATTTTCTGATAAATTATTTTTAAACTTGTAACATTGATCTTCATTTTCATGGATTCAGATTAAGCATCCAATATCAATGAAAAATATGTACAGCTATACTGCTGTGCTAAGGAAAAATGTTGTATGAGCCTATAGGGGCTGTCAAATTTCCTACCTAGTAAAAATTTTCAAAGAAACTTTTGGATATTTTTCTTCCAATTTTTCAGAAAATTTTATTTGACATTTGATCCAGAGTATGTGGAAATTTCAAGGAAAAATTATCATAACTTTCCTCAAAAATTTTTGTTCTATAAGGGCAACTGTGGCAACTCCTGAAAGCTCAAACGGCGTTTTTCCTTAGCATGGCAGTATAAGTGAGTACATTCAGAAGTAATTGTATCCTGAAACCTGAGAGTTACGTCAGAGCTTACCAGTGTCCATTACTTATTAAAATATGCCCTTGCGATACTGATTTACTTTTTTTCCATTAGTATGGTGAGCTAAATCTAAATCTGAGAAAATAAAGATGCCTGTGTAAGCTCTGAGAAAATTGACTGAAAATTTTTCCCTGTTGATGTGGAAGGGTCAAAATGGAAAAGAAAACCGAAATTCACCACAGGCACAGGATCCAGACAAACCTGATAATATACCAATAGGTCTTGGCCAGCAATGTAAGTGTGTTCAGAGTTTTTGTGAGCTGGAACGTTTTCATTTCTGGGTGTTTTTTTTTTTTTTTATTCATCATAGCGCATCATGACTGAGCTGTTACAGAATTTTCAGCTAAATCCGAAAAACGTGAAGTTTAATCAATTTCAGTGATAAACACTTTCTAGTAATACTTAAAAATGTACTGAGTATGTCAATGTGTCTGGAAAATTTTGCTGGAGCATAAAGAAGAGTTAATACTTTACGTGAATTACTTAAAAATTAAACATTAGGACGGTCTGAAATTCACTCTTATAAAGTCTTACAAAGATTGGTATGCATAATGCTTTGTCCTGAAGGTGACAAAATGAGGAAAGGTACTTCAGCAGAGAAAAAGTAAGATACCTGGTTTACACGAAGATAAACTCCATATAGCTTGACAGCCAACTTCCCGCACTAGGCCAGCACGAACGTCTTTGATTGGATCAACGTCACTACTTATCGGACTGTTTTTAGACATAGCTCCTTTGTCTTTTCCTTTCTTCGACAGCACTCAGAAAACAATGGCAATGGCTAGAACAAAAAATTATGTGTCTAGATCACTCAAAATATTGAGGCCTCTTAGAAAAATGATCCGCTTCAGCAGAATTGGGGACCTTCTCATGGTTTTACAAGTTAGCAAAATTTTGATAGACGCCACCACCACTGCCATTTTGGAAAGCAATAACTTTTAGCACCAGACATGGCATGCATACACGCTGGTGAATGAGACAGATTCCAGAATTATGCTCTGCATGCCTTTTGATGTTAAATTAGTAGATGGTTGGAAGTTTAATCGTTTAAAGTTCTGGCATAGGTGCCTTGATTTATGATACTTAGACATCAACAGTGAATATCTAATTAACCATGTCAAAATAAATCCAAGTTATTCAGAGGGGCAGGTGTACCTCAAGCACTGCCTGAGAAAGGGTTTCAGAGGATATTGAACCATAGAGATGAAAGTATTGAATTGAGAGAGAAATAGAGTTGAAAGCAAATAAGCTCTGGGTTCAACCGCTGCCTACAAGAATAGAGAGGCCATAACTATGATTCTGTGACGCCAAGCTAGTAGATGAAACTCGGTCCTGATTTAAAATTTGTTCTTATGGGAGAACGCATGACACATGTTCTTATTGTGGTAGATAATATCTTTACAGGGGTTGATCTGATGCAAAAATTCATAAGAACCTTATTGAAAGAAGGTAAAATTTCACATCAGAAAACTGCCTAGCTCTTAAATTACAATGTGTGATAATTGAGGAAATAAAAGCTAAGCTAAACACGACTAAATACCGAGCATCATTACCCAACTAAGATTCAAACGCGCCGCTCATGCAAGTTCGGCCGATCGACGGCAGCTCTGATTGTTTAACACAGTGATTACTTTACTAGTTTGACTTCACAAAACCGAGTAATTACAGCCTCTCTATTCTCGTGGGCAACGGTTCAACATGACCTCAGTAACTTGCCTGCCGCCCGATTAATGAAACTATGTCAGCCTGACAAATAAGAGTGTCGATACTTCCAAACTATTGGTACTTTTGATCAATACTCAGTGATATCGATCCTCAGACCCCAGTATCGATGATATTGATACTTAATCAGATCTGGCCATGAAGAAGGCCTCTTTTTCTTCATGAGCAACTTCACTCTTTTCTGTTGCACCTTCACTACGCACTGAGAAAAACGTCGGAGTGATCAGGTTTCTAAAGATGATTACTTTCGTAAAATTGCTAAAAATTTGGTTTGATGACAGTAGTAAAGGGTTCATAAGAGTTGACTAAGCACGCAAATAAGGGCGGTTTTGAGAGAAACGTAAACCTGGCAGAAATACGTGGCCGACAGAAATATGCACACTCCGTATTGTGGCATACTTTAGAAAGAGTATCAATGGTATCGATACTTCAAAAGTGTCGATAATTCAGCTCGATGCCGGTATCAATGCTTAGAGTCGATACCAGTATCAATACCGAGTATCGACATCCCTACTAACAAGATAAGACATACCTTCACCACCAAAACCATCTTCACCATGAAATATACTGCATTTCGTTTGATTGTTGGGCTGCTTTAAACATTCAATAATTGGCTTGTTGGAGAAACAAGTGTAAGTTAGTACACAAACAGTGATAAAACATGCGAGACAATGGTCAAGCGGGTTACTGATTCAGAAAAGCGAAATTTCGAAAGATTAGTGATACTTAAAGATTTTTGCATGCTTACAAATTAGAATTCCAGATGAGTGAAAATGATGAGTTGATAAGTTCTTAAAAACAAGTGATTCTCCAATCTTATCACACAGTCGAAAGTTAGGAGCCAGTTTTTTACATGAAAAGAGCACCGCGTTACGCACTTTCAACAAAGAATTTCACTTCACGATTGGAAGATAGATAAAAATCGGCGAGATCTAAGATAGATAAGGAAATCGAAAGTCAATTTTCTAGATTCTGGAGAAGTTTTCATTGTCTTCAGCTAGTAAACAGCAACAGCTCGAGCTCGAGAATTATTTGAGGTTAGATTTCACAGCGTTTCCGTTTCCGGTTTTGAGTGGCGGGAATTTTAAACCGAATCCACCAGTCAACATTGTTTACATTTTAAGATGTGGCTAAAAACATAACCTCCAATTTTGTAAGTGATCAAAATTGTCAAAATTTAATTCGAGATTGATCATGAAAGTTATTGATTTTCAATTTTGTCTATATGTTTTTCTTTTGTAACTTCTTCTCTTCAGTTTAATTTGAATTTTCTCTTCGTTCATTTTGAAAATCCGCCATGAATACACTTGGTCTAAGTATGCTTGTGAGATTTGGTTGCCCATGTTCGAAGGAGACCCTGTACGTCAATGGTCAGAAGTATTATATTTTGGAGAAAATTGGTGAGGGGTAAGTAGTCCTGATCAAATTACACTAAGTAATTTTGTGTACGCTTATGTAGTGTTTCAAATACACAGTAGTTATTGTAGTGACTCAAAAGGTAATGATGTTGCCATCTTGAAGGTTTCAGCTCGGAGTCAGCCTCTGGACCTATCAGAGCAAAACTAACATTCGTCATCATTGCATACCTACATGGTGATAATTAATCCCATTACCATGTAATTACGGAAAATTTCAGCACCCAAGAGCGGATGATGTGGTGTACTGGTATTCTGATTCACCAGGGCAACGATGTTGAAGCGTTATTAAGTATTAGAGAAACTCATAACTGACCATCGTACAATCATGGATTCAGATTCAACCGGAGTTAACATCTAGAAAAGGACCCTCTGGCTAAGCAACCAAAGATTTTGCTTTCGGCCCACTCAGTCCCGTACGGAATGTAACCTTTCAGTCGTATGAGGGAGGGATGGTGATCTGTGCTCTTAGATAAATCGCCTTTTGAAGAACAATTTTTATGAGGTTTTTCCTCCTGGAAATACATCCGAAATATGCACCAATTTCTGTTCTGTTTGACACTGATCTCACTAGTGACTCTGATCTCTCGAAGGTTTTTCTCTAGTATCCATTGTACACTGAAGGTGCATTCAGAATGTGGGCCAAGCGGTGTGCCTTTGCTACTTGACGCTGGGGGAAAAATGGCTAGATGAACCTCCAGAGAGGATAGGGAGCATTCCCATGTCTGAACGAAATTTAACTTTACATGGGTATGTTTTGAGAGAAGAATTGTGGAGGCTGTTGTATACAGTGTTTCAACAACAGATAAACTACTAATGCTTTAAATGAGTAGGTATAAACGTGATGTGTGTTTTTTACCCTAAATTTGAATTTTCTGTAAACAATTTTTTTCTTTGATTCTTTTTTAGAGGATTCAGCACAGTTTCCTTGATCGAGAATGTCAACTCCAAGAAAAAGTATGCTCTTAAGAAAATTACGTGCCATGGAAGGGAAGATCAGAAGAGTGCTTTGCAAGAAGTAGAATATCATAAGCAGTTCCAACACCCTAACATTCTTACCTGTATTGATTACGAAATTGTCATGTCCTCAGAAAGTATCCTCAACCAAAGCAGTGAGGTTTACATTGTTCTTCCTTATTTAAAGGTAAGTTTTTTTTTTTTTTTTTTTTTTTTTTTTTTTTTTTTTTATGGAAATCTTAATGATACCCATCCATACTATAAAAATCAATAGCTCAATTAAAATCAGAACAGCATCTACTTATAATTTACTATGATGGTTGAATTTTTACACTGCAGAAATATGCATATCAACCAAAAGAGCCGCTTTCCTCTTTCCATTGTAATGATTGCTAAAGTTTCAGAGAACAGAGACTTTCGTCAATGCATTAATAAAAAGAAGGCCATTAAAAATCGAACTAGTCATTTTTCATATTGTTCTATGATTTGATTTGGAAGGGAAGAGAAAAACTCATTTTTGCTTGAGTTTCCCTGAGAATGAATGTATAAAAAAATGTTCTTTCTTCATGTCAAGTTTAAAAATAAAAACCTGATTTTCTGCTCCTAACTTTGCTACCAAATGCGTCTATGCCCAAGCAAAACCTCAATTTTCAATTTTTTTCGCGCTTGAGTTTTTTAAAAATGACTGGTGTGCAAAATCAAAAATAACTTACTTAAGCAGTAGAAATTAAATCATCATCTGTAAGATAAGACAGAAATTGTTATCTGATGACATAGCTGTGAATTATGCAAAATACTTTACAAGATAATAGAGCAATTGATTGATGTGACCCAACTGCCTATTTCGCCTATCAGCTTTATTTGTATGACAAGAGATAGTTTCCTTACAGTGTGCCTTTAGTTTCCTAACACTTGAATCTAATTTTTTCTTGGCCTATTTTTGGAAACCTCTCTCCGAAAACAGTTTCAAATGCCTCTCTTGTTGTACGGATTTGGACTGGTGTAGTTTAGAACTCTCTCTCTCTCTCTCTCGGTTTATCAGATTTTTAATGTAACTTCTTTAATTATTTTCAGAGAGGCACCTTAGCTCACGAATTAGAATTAAGGAGTATAGCAAGACAGCATATGCAGCCTTTAGAGATTATGAAAATATTCATCCAAATTTGTGAAGGTGTAAAGGTATTCCATGATGCACAGCCTGAGCCACTTGCACACAGAGATCTAAAAACAGCTAATATTTTATTAAATGATGACAACACCCCTGTTATTATGGATTTAGGTGAGCATTTCTAAAAGATTTCTAGAATGTGAACTGTAACAGAGACTCATCTTGATTGCCGGATTGTTTTGCCTATCATTAATTTACGTTTTTCAGTATGTTCAATACAGATACAGCAAAGAAAATAATTAATAATCAGAACAAAATAAAATTAATCATCGTAACACAGTCATAATGTTTTACAAAATTCTGTTGTAATTATTAACAGCAGTGGATTTTAAACTTACATTCGGCCAATGAGATATAATTATGAGAGAAAAAACTTTCAATTTGATAATGTTTTATTTTAATTTGTGCCCCTTTCAGACTTTTTAGTTTGGATGGGATAATCAACCCTTCCCTTTTTGTGGAGATGCTTGACAGGTATGAAGAGAATAAAGGTATTCCATCATTTTTTGGAAAGCTGTAATAAAACTGGTTCAAGCAATTGCTATTACGTTACTTATTATCTTTACCAATATTAAATTACACATTGGTATTCTCCAAGATGATGCAGTACTTCGCTGTGCCATCTATACTTGCTGTGTTTGCTGTGCAGTTCAAAGAAAATGGGGTGTCCCTGCACATTTAGGGGTTTTTTTGCAATTTCTTTGAGAATGGATAAGATTTTCCTAGCACAGCTGTATTTTGTGTGTAGTCAGTCCAAATTAAATGAAGTGTACCTTTAGTTGGCTGAGGAGGATTTTTATTTCTTTTGTTTTTTTAAGCAAGAATCCTCTGTTGACTCCTCTCTTCTCACTAATACACGGTTTTTCATTTATCAGGCAATTTTGCCAAATTAAAGATTCATTAAAATCGTTGCCATAATTTATGGAGCATTAATGACGTCTTAATCTACGAATATGGGAATATTTTCCTGGAGATGTGTGCCACATAATTTCTTAATAAATTTTGTCTAACTTGATTTTTTTTCTGACAGGTTCTATGGCTCCAGCAACTGTTGAAGTAACAAATAGCACTGACGCACAAAGGCTACAAGACATTGCCAGTGAACGATGCTCCATGGCATATCGTGCTCCCGAACTTTTTAATGTAGAAAGTAGTTGTCTAATTGATCAAAGGACAGATATTTGGGTGAGGAACTGTGTAATTTTATTATATCTTTATTTTTTTCCACAATAATCTCGAGTACCAGCAAGTAAAGTCAATAATTGAATGACCAGTACCCGAATTGTGTATATTGATTGATCATGAATATGGGCCATCTGTCCATGAAAGGAGATGTTTTTGCCCCTGCAGGTATTAAACGTTTATGTTACTTTTCACAGTAAGTTGGGTGAGAAAGATTAGTCACCAATTCAATTGTTAAATGAAAAGCTTGCACTATGAACTGATCAAAGATAGTGCGATTAAATGTGAAATGAGATACTTGCGTTTTTACATTCAGCAACAGTATTTATTTCAAGCAATATTTCTAATTTTCTATTTATTTTTTCCCCTTCAGCTACAAATTTCCTCCCAAAATGCTATCAGAATGTCTTGAAGTGTGACCAAAAGCTTTTATTCAACCACATTGAAACTATACCTCTAAGACCTTAAGTTATTGTGTGCTGTAGATGACATATATCAACTTATTTTCAGGAAAAATCCACAGCTTTATCCATGGATTTTTCAATTTTTAGTTACTGATTATCATAAAGTGTACTTCATAAATGACACGTCTCATGCTCACCTGTATCAATTTCCATATTTCATCCAAAATGCAGTAATATTCTTACATTCTTCGATTCTGATATTTCATTTACCAATAACATTTTTTTAAAACAACTAATTTAATGCTTGCATTTCCTTTTTCAGTCTTTGGGGTGTTTGTTGTATGCCATGTGTTATTTCAAATCACCTTTCGATATTGTTTACGAAAGAGGCGATTCAGTAGCACTAGCAGTCATCAGTGGGTCTATATCCTTCCCAGAACCAGAGATTTATCCTAAGGTATGCATTATTTATCATGCATGGACGTGTGCGTAATATTCCCTTTTAGCCTTTATATCTACTCTTAAAAGGAAGCTCTCTAAAGTTTTTAATTATTTTAAAGCGATTTTTCTAATTTTTTCTCCCAATGAATACACATAAATCTTTCTTCGTAGAAGCAATACTTAATTGAAATGGACGACATACTGTCGGAAACTTGAGAGGTGCCGTCAGCTTGTTGTGAGTTCCACCTGACATAGGCACGATAAAGCAGCGATAGACATGGCCGACCAACCACGCTCTGCCTTTTAACTTATATATGTCATCTATGTCTATCCGACAAACACAAAATTTCAACAATCAGGCTGCAGGGCTCAGGTTATAGGTGGGCATCTATACTGCCTTGCTAAGAAAAAACGCCGTATGAACCTTCAGGCGCCAATTTTCCTTCAAGAAAAACCGAATTTACTGAGAAAATTTTGAATGTTTTTCCTCAAAATTTTCAGTCAATTTTGTTCACCATTTAATCTAAAATATTTGAAAATTTCAAGGAAAAATATGCATAACTTTCCTCAAAAATACATGTTTTATTGGAGGGGAATTTGGCAACTCTTGAATGTTCATACGGCGTTTTTCCCCAGCATGGCAGTACAGTAAATCGAGTGTGGATTACATCTTGAATTTTCAAAATTTGTCTCATAGTTTTAACATGTAACAAATTTGTGATGTTTCAACGAAATGAGCTTATAAGGTTTTTTCTGCTTTTTTAGGAAATGCACGAGTTGATATTATTCATGCTGCGCGTCAATCCAATGGAGAGGCCTTATATTTACTCTGTGATAGATAAAGCCATTGATCTTCTAGACAACTTTAAGAGCAACCCCAGAATAGTTGATGTTAACTCCTACAGTGACTCTGTCATCACTTAATCTTCTGCAAAATTCTATACAGGAATATTGACAGCCCTCACGGTTGTCTCATGAGTGTCTTTGAGAGTTTTGATGAAACTGATAACTGAAAATTATTAGTCTGAAAAAGTTGCATAGTGTTTTCAAGTACTGTGAATTTTGAATGTACTAACATGCAGAGGGCTGTTCGAAAAGTGAGTATTAAGGAAGCAAAGAGCCAACTTGATGCTGCCTGCCAATGAGAAAATATCAGAAATAGCAGGGAAGAACATTCTATTGGACTGAGAAATTTTTGAAGGACATAGTATCAACAATTTAGCGCCACTAATAGAGCTGTGTCCTGTGAATATATTTAACCTGGAAATAAAAACCGATTTTAAGTTAAATTTACATCCTTGCCAGTTTTTTCAGATAGTGTTAAACACCACTATTAATAAAATATGTAAACCTTGTTGAATCCTTAGTACAAAGTCAATGATAAAAAGTAAAAAAAATAAAAAAACGGATTTGGCTCAATAAACAGAAATCAATTTGTCAATATAGGGCAAAGTTTTTCATTGCACATTGGAAAAATTTACTCACTGCTTAGTTACTAAGAAGTTTCCTCTTCTCTCAAAAAAGTTATCCCTTTTCTTTAAAATTTCATCCAAATTAAGATTTCTGCCTTTTTTTTCATACATACATAATATTCACTTCTACAATGCGCCCTGGCGTTTTGCGACACCCAAACGTCACATGTGCCTATCTTCCCAGAGGTTATCAGGCTACTGAAAATGCAGCATCTCTGCATCAACGCCCTGCCGCCATCCTTTCATGGGATGTCCCTGTCGCCTGCTCCCGGGTGATACCCAATCCAAAATTTGTTTGGGCAACCTCTCCTCCGACATTTTTTGCACATGTCCATACCATACTGACTGCTTGGATATGACGTTGTGTAAGATAAATCATTTTTAACCTTCATCACCTGGCGAACTTTTTCATTACGGACACGGTCCGGTCCCGAGATGTTTGCAGATCGCCGCCAAAAATCCATTTCAATTGCCTTCAACATATCTTGAGTTCGTTTCGTCAAAACCCACACTTCACCGCCATAGAGGATGATACTCTTGATGGAGGCGTCATATATCCGGTGCTTGTTTGTCTTTGAAATGATCTGATCCCAGTGCACCCCATTCAGCATTGCGATCGCTCCTCTCTCCAGGATGATCCTGACCTTAATCGCCCTATCCATCCTTCTAGCCTGATCTAGCCAAACACCGAGATACTAACACTCGTCACACTCTTCAATGCACGGTCTATCCTTCAGCTCCATGCTTTTTCCCATCATTTTTCAATTAATGATGTGGGAAAATAAAATATTACTATGGTCAGCCACTCTCAGTGAAAATAATTTTTTCTCTGTTATGGTTTGTTTTAAGTTTTATTTCTTGCAGTCATGAGCAGGGGCAATTGAGCCTGATTTTTTAAATGATCCTCTCACAAAGGTCGTATCAAAAATCTCAACCTAGTATTTTTATTGTTTTGGTAAAATTGTGAGCAAATACACAACACTCCTCTGTGTTTATCATTCAATAAGACCGTTTGGTCTGGATGCCTTAAACCATTGAAATCAAAGAATTCGCCATCACTGCAGAATGATCTCTTAAAATTTTAGCATCATTTAGCGATGGTAATTAATATGTAAACTAGTTTGTAAGTCCGAAAGTAAAGTTTTAATGAGAATTCTAGGATGGAAGTAAAAGTTTCCAGAAAAAACTTTCATTCCTTTTATGATTTATTTTACTGCATCACATGTAAAATTGAGTTGAACCATGTAGTTAAATAGTATGTTTGAAAAAATTGAGGGATAAGTTGTGTAAAGTAAAATTCCCCTTCGAATAAGCTATGTTTACTTTGTGAAGAATACTAAAGCCTGTTTTTATGCCTCAATTTTTATTTTGACCGAGTTTAACAGAATCACACTAAAGTCACATATTGGAAAAAAATTAGACAGGATTATGTATTTTGAATTCAACTCATTGAAAATTCCATGTCAAAAATGCAATGTCAAGAAAGAATATTTTAATTGTGAAAATACTAGTTAAACTTGGTCCATAACATTTTGTCTTACAGACATCAACTTCAAACGTCCCTTTCTCAGTTTAAATTTGATGCAATTTTGTGCGTTTCTGTTAAATTTGGTCAATTTATGTCCATGTAATATGTCAGTTTGTAATAGGGTTTATTCGAAATTATGAAAATGTCACTTTACTCTTTCATCTGTGATACCCCTCAGCTGTCAACATAGTATACAATGATAATTGTCAAACCTATTTCTTACTGAATTCCTAGCATATTTTTTAATATTAATTTTCTCTGGTCTGTGTTTTAGTGTTCAATTTCTCAGAATCTGAAAAATTCCCTGAGGCCTCTTAGTGCTTTCAAAAGCCGCCTACTAGATCATATTTTAAAAATCAAGAGAAAGCATGCTTATCTAGAGGTTATTATTTGCCATAGCTGTAAAAATGAAAATAAAAATCAGTCCATTAGATCCGGAACAAACCATGACAAAGAATGAAACTTTATATTGTCCGATTTCAAAAATTCACAATTTTATATAGTAACATTTGAAAAATCCCAGGTCATGTTTCAAAAATTTAAAGAGAGCAGACTCATTCCAACTCGTCTAGAGGTTACGTACAATAGCGGCAAAAATAATGGAAATTGGCTCTATGGATCCTAAGATTGAACTGCAAAAAAAAAAAAAAAAAAAAAAAAAAAAAAAAAAAAAAAAAAAAAAAAAAAAAATTATAAAGACTGTGCGTATGGAACACCAATAAATTCGGCGTTGCCTAAATTTTGATATCATTTGATATGATGTTTCGCATGAGTACGACCTACTGAGTAAGATGATTTTTTCACTTCAAACTTTCCTTTTGAACTTAGTTATGTGAAATAACAGAGACAAACTCATGCCTTGCAACAATCTTTTAACATATTATTTATGAAACTGTTCTCTGACCGTAAACCGTTTCTTGCAATTTTTCTCAACATCCCTGACTTTTTCCTTCGATATTCATGCATTTAAGAAGTAATATTGCGACTGGAAATAGTAACTCCATCAATTTTTTTTTTATGAAACTGTACATGTGACTCTATTTGACTTATATTAAGTTCTAGTTGCATTTATTGTGCAAAAACTGATATGCTAATCAATTTAAAGACAGTTAAAGATGGTAGAAACCAATTCAGAAGACAAAAATTTTATTTTTATACAACCGTTTTCTTTCTTATACCTTATTTACTTGTTTCAAGAATATTTTTGTTGCTGTTATTGTTGATATTTTTTATTGGTGTTTAGATTGATAAGTTCAATAACATATCTTTCATTTTGTATTTTACTAATTCTAGAATACATTGATTGCAAACTGCCTCATTGTGTTTATCATTCCTGTTTTTCGGACAGGCGGACAAATCTGTTCACATTTCCCTTGAAAAATAAAAAATTACCTTAACGTCATGTCAGTTTGCCTTCAATTTTTAGTGTAGGCAATGCGAGCTCCTACACGGTCGAATAGTGGTATCGCCATGAATTGGCACGCTTATTCGGTCTACCTCTACACTATTCACTCAAGTTTGTTACCAAACCGGAAGAGGTTACTTAAACTACTTAAACGCCATATCAGTTTGCCTCCAATTTTTTGTGTAAGCAACGCGAGCTCTCACATGGTAAAATATTAGGATCATCCTCTGTACAATAATTAGACGGTCTCTGTTGGCGAATTTATTCCACTCGCGATACCTTTTTGCTAGAATTGCATCATCGTATTTAAATTTTCTGATGGTATGTTTTTGTGTTGTATTTCAAATTAGGGCTCGCGCGTATTTACCTTTAACGAATAAACATACAGTAGGTACTGTAAGTGCCTTAGGCTCCTCTCTAGCTTTTCTCCTCTGAAATATGTTTTTTATATCCCCTCATTATAACCTGTGCAAGAAGAAAGGAGATGAAAAAGAATAGGAGGAGAAGAAAATAGAAAAAAGAGGTTAGAGGAAAGAGTATCGAAGAGAAGGAATCAGGAAGAAGAGAAACTGTGGATAAGGAGAAAGAAGAAACGAAAGGAAGAAAAGAGAATAAGAAGGAATGAGGAAGGAAAAAAGAGAATGAAGGAGAAGGTGAAGAACAGGTAAAGAAGAAGTTGGAGAAAATAGTATGGAAGAGATGGAAATAGAAAGGAAAAGGAGGAAGAAGTAGGAATGAGGAAAGAGAAAAGAGAAAGAAGAAGAAGAAAGTGAAGGAAAGAGAGAAAAGAAGAAGGAAAGGGAAAGGGGTAAGGGGGAAAAGGTGGTGAAGAGGATAAAAGAAAAGGGAAGAAGAAGCGAGAGAAGAGGAAGATGAAGAAAAGATTAAAAAAGAAGGAAAGCTAATGAAAAGGAAGAAAATGTAGGAAACAGAAATGAGAAAGGAGAGGAGAATAAAAGAGAAAGAAGAAACGAGGCGTTAAACTAGCTTTTTTCGAGGGGTAAAAGATTACATTAACATCTTGTCAGTTCGCCTTCAATTTCAGCGTAAGCAACACAAGCTCCCACGTGGTCGAATAGTGGTATCGTTTTGAAATGGTAGGCTCACTTGAGACTCGCACAAAATAAATAAGCAGAGCTCATTACGAAGCGGGGGGATCAAGATGTAAAAGATCGATATGCACATGAATCCTTAAGAGTGAACGCGAATCGATCAACAGCAATTCGATCGAGAAATAATAGTAAAACAGGTTCGTTTTTACTTTTCGATCGAATTATCTCGATCGAAACAACCGGTCTAAGTATTTACCCAATAGATTCCAGAAAATATAATTGAGAAGCTTGAAGGTCACGGCGCAAAAGAGCAGTTTTTGCCATTTCGAGAAATACGTGTTTGAAGTTTCGAAATTACAAGGATCTTTATAGCGGGAAGAAAGATCTCTGACTCTTTGAAGCGAATTTTTCACAGAATAATATGCATTGCATGGCCGGATTTACCTACTTGCCGCCCATGGGCCGCCTGCATTTTGCCGCCCTCTTCTCATTCACTTTGAAACATCAATAAAAACCATCAAGTGAACGTGCCGGAGGGAGAAGGGTGCATAAGACGCGTTCACTCGTGTTGGACACATTTTTTGCGTAAGCCCTGCCAACACTGCTAGCAAAAGTTTAGTTCCGTAAACCTATCTCTGTGGGGACAAAGCCTTTCATTTGTAAGAAATGAACTAAACGATTAAGAAAGAACAAACATAAATGTGATTTACCGTGCCGCGCTGACTACACTGTATTTGGCGCAATGCGTGAAGTATTCATGTAGTCTTGTAGGCACTGTGTATTCACGCCGCGCCGACCGCTGTTGACCGTACTGTGTTTGACGCAATGCGTGAAGTATTCATGCAGTCTCGTAGGCGCTAATATGTGTTACATGCTGACCGCCGCGTCGAGGGCTTCTCCTTTTCATNTTTTTCATAGATTATCTATAGCTTTGATGACGTCAGTGGGTACAGCGACGTTTTTATCCCGTCGATTTTCTTGGAAATGGTGTAATTTAAGGGAAAAAGTCATTCTATAAAAAGTTCTTGAAATTATATAAAGAGTTGATTTAAGTAAAAAAATCGGACATTATGGTCCGTTTTTACAGCGGCAACATAACCCTCAACGAGCGTCTTGTTTACAGTGATGACGTAGGTGGGTACAAATCCTCAAGATGCAAACACCTCCTTTTTTTTCTCTATGGTTGCCGCCCATGGGCCGCCTGCATTTTGCCGCCCTCTTCTCATTCATTTTGAAACATCAATAAAAACCATCAAGTGAACGTGCCGGAGGGAGAAGGGTGCATAAGACGCGTTAACTCGTGTTGGACACATTTTTTGCGTAAGCCCTGTCAACACTACTAGCAAAAGTTTAGTTCCGTAAACCTATCTCTGTGGGGACAAAGCCTTTCATTTGTAAGAAATGAACTAAAAAATTAAGAAAGAACAACATAAATGTGGTTTACCGTGCCGCGCTGACCACACTGTATATGGCGCAATGCGTGAAGTATTCATGTAATCTTGTAGGCACTGTGCATTTCACGCCGCGCCGACCGCTGTTGACCGTCCTGTGTTTGACGCAATGCGTGAAGTATTCATGCAGTCTCGTAGGCGCTATTATGTGTTTCATGATGACCGCCGCGTCGAGGGCTTCTCCTTTTCATCTCAAGTCGTCGTCATCATTTCTCTTTGCGCCGCGCCGCTCCAGGCCAAATTACGTGATTGGTCTAAACTTAACTAATTAAAGGTGCGCAGTCTTTTGTATCACCGAAATAAGACAAAATTAGAAATTAATGAACTCTCAGGAAATGAGAGATTTTGTCACCTTTTCTTGTTTGTAATTTTTTTCTGAATCCTATTTTTTTGTACCTGCATTTAAACAAATTGCAAAATTTGCCGACATGGGCCGCGGCCCATGTGGCCACCCCCTTAATCCGACCCTGATACATTGGGACTAGTTTTATTTAGAATCACCAACACCTCAATTTTTTCAAAAACTACACCTTGTCTTCCAAGCCCCTCAATTTACATGGCGAAGCGTCTCGACCCGTGACTTCAGTCGAAGGCTTTTCGCTAATTAATCAGCCATGATCAGCGGCGTAGACAGGGGGGCAGACCTAGGGGATCTGGACCCCCCCCCCCCCCCCACGTAAAGATAATTTCCCCACAGAACATCATTTTTCGCGATTTTGAAGGACCTCCTACCTCTAGGACTTCCCCCTTCCCCCTCCCATGTGAAAGTTCTGACCGTGCCACTGGTTATGAAGTAGATGCTTAATCCCACTCAGAAAATGGCCAGTTTCCTGATTCTGAGAGAAATGCATTTCTTCGTCGAAAATAGTGGTGCACACGGAGAATTCTGCGCTAGGAGGAAAAAGCGATTTCTTTTCATAGAGGGGAAAAGGGGAACTTTTTTTTCTCTTTTTTTTCCATTTTTTTTTGTCAGCACTTTAAAGCGTGAGGCAAAATCAAGAATTTCACTCTCCTCTTTTTTGGGGCCGATGTGGAATGTAGATGTAGTTAACCGGGTGCACCACCGAACCGTGCGGAAGGGGTGTAAATGCGGCGGGCACGCAGTTACATCACACAGATCCTCGAAAAAGCTCGAGGCTGGCTTTCAAGGAAATCAGTCTAGCCACTGGATTAGTCCTTGAAGGTCAAATGCGTATCTGCTGTATGGACGTGACACGTCTATACGTCACCCGATGTTGTTAGCCAATCAAATGCCGCCGTCCTCACTTCTTTGAGGAAGTGGGGAGACGTAACGCAGGCAGTTCCCGGAGTACCAGAAAATTGTGAAGTAATTCCCGACCATTTTACTCAGCCGTATCGGTCAATGAGCTCGGAAACTCAGTGATAAAACATTTTCGGTGTTTTCTTATTTTCTGTGTGGTTATCTTCTTTAGTTCTAACCTCTCCAAGTACATGTAAGTGTTTTTTAAGTTTTGTTTTTCTGTCTGAACTTCTCTCTCCTTTCCCTTGCCTCCTGTTTGCTGATCAATTTGGAATGATGATTGAACTTTCCAGGTTGATGTTACAGGTTAAACACCTTCGTAATTTCGGTGACGATTACCTTGGCCTCGCTCTAGCGCCACTCTCTTCCACCTTCGTGTGTGAAGCGAATTCCCTTCCGTTCTTATCACATCTTTGAGCCCCTCTCAACGTTCATTATTCCGGTATTCGCGGCCCGTTATTTGGCAAGTTTAGTACAGCCAGTGTGCCCCTAACAATACTAACCAAACCCTCCTGTAATTCAAGTGAGTTTAATGTAATGAGCACATGCTGTTTTGGGTATTGTCAATTCATGAATATTCTGATCCGCTCCGTAGACTGAGCCTATACCAGTTTTCATTTCGTTTGGCAGGTTAGTTTCACTCGCATTGGTTATGTTTACTTTCCTTGCTGCTATCAGTCATGATGATTTCAAACAAGTAGATTTTATCTGACAGCACTCCAATCAATAGAGTTTATTGAGCAATGCGTAAACTGTATTACATCACATAACGATAACGTCTGTGGATTACGATGTACATCTCAACTTTAGGATGTGTGATGCTTATCAAGTTTGTTTCATATTAAATGTAAACATAATATGTAAGATATCAGAAGCTGTTCAGCTTTACTACAAGGTGCAACTAGCTAATTCAGCTTCAAATAGAATTCTCCAGAAGGACTATCATGCCATGTCCCTTTATCACTGATTGTCAATTTTCCTTATCTCGTCACTCCTGATTACTTACCGATACTAGAGGCAGTATGCTTCCATCCTGCTGGTTTGGTAGGATCAAACCTTGAAGGCTCTACTCACAATGAGTTTTGTTTTCCTGCTATTTCTAATCCAAACCTGCACTTTTCCAAGTGAATGTTTATGTTAGTGTCG